AAAATAATATTTTTTTTCTATCACGTAAGGATTTTTTACAAATCGGGAAGAAGAAAAAACGCTTACTTAGATCAAATCTACAACAAATTTACCACAAATATAACAGAATATGTTTGGGTCATTTACACAACCCCTTGTTGCCATAGCGACGAATAAATACTATTGAAAAGCAAAAAAATAATGTCAAAGTACACGCACAAACAAATACTATCCAGAAATGACGCGTCATGCGGCCTGTTAACCGTTTATATACTAGTGGTGTGTTTCTCGTGGGTTCTAGAACGATCGATAACTCTCAGGTCGCGATTGGTCTAGAAAAAATCTATAGCCAGTGGTTGTCAACATTTTAAGCATAACAAAATGTGGCCCGATTTCAATGAAAATGATTCACTTATGTAAAAGTATATATGACGTTTTGTGAAAATTCTGTACGTGATGGAGAAAAATGGATATCATTTTCGGATTCAGCGTACAGGATTAACTGTAGAATATGTAAAAATTTCAAGACAATAATTGTAATTGGTCTTTCTATAAAAGGTGTAAGTTTTGATTGGATGACTGGTTTTGCTGTACAAAATGCAGCTTATGATTGGATGATATGCAAAATGTATAGATTGTGACTGTTTTTTTCTATGCAAAGTACAGGTTCTGATTGGATGACGGTTTTTCTATATAAAGCGCAAGATGTGATTGGCTGAATGGTTTTCTATACAAAGTACAGGCTGTGATTGTATGATTGGTTTTACTAAAGAAAATCTAGTCATGTTATTGCTACAAAAATCTAAAATTCTAAGCCTATATTCTTTCAATATCTATTATGTCAGTAGTTTGTTTCTGTCATACTTATTTCAAGGCCCGGCATAGCCAAGTGGTTAGGGCGCTCCACTCGCAATCTGAGGGTCGCGGGTTCGAATCCCCGTCCCACTAAAAGGCTCACCCTTTCAGCCGTGGGGGCGTTATAAGTGACGGTCAATCCCATTATTCGTTGGCGGTGGGTGGTGATGACTAGCTGCCTTCCATCAAGTATTTCACTGCTAAATTAGAGACGGGGAGCGCAGGTAGCCCTCGTGTAGCTTTGCGCGAAATTCAAAACAAACAAACAAACGTAATTCAAGAGATAACTTATTTTGATGTTAAACATTAAACAACGTTTATTAATTGCAATACAGTAACAATGTTTATTCATACTAACCTACAAAAGATATAAATTATTTTTATCTACCATAAATCCCCAACTAATTTTATTTACTGTAAAGCATAAAAACTTTTATTTATTAGAAAACTGTATGTTATATGGTCGGATCCCCAACACGTTACGTAGTGACAGACAAGTTGTCTTGTGGTCGGATACCCAACACTTCATACAGTGAGAGTCGAGTATTCATGGCCGTCTTCTGTTTGGATCCCCAACACTTTACGTAGTGACAGACAAGTTGTCTTGTGGTCGGGTACCCAACACTTCATACAGTGAGAGTCGAGTATTCATGGCCGTCTTCTGTTTGGATCCCCAACACTTCATACAGTGAGAGTCGAGTATTCATGGCCGTCTTCTGTTTGGATCCCCAACACTTTACGTAATGACAGACAAGTTGTCTTGTGGTCGGGTATCCAACACTTCATACAGTGAGAGTCGAGTATTTATGGCCGTCTTCTGTTTGGATTCCCAAACACTTTACTCCGACACTTTTTCAAAGCCTTTAAAAATGCTGCTTCATGAGGTTTAAACATATCTAATTTTTATTTTTAGCATAAAACAGACAAGTCATTTCGGAGTATTATTCCGTTTCTCCTCCTCCTCTTCTCAGAACCTTGCATTTTATATTAATTGAAGAAATACAATAATAAATCATACAGGTTTATGTTTACAGTTCTTAATCATTTATTCAAACACAAACAACAAAGTTTTAAAATCTCGGGTTATCCAATATGTTTGTTTGTAGTTTAGTACAAGGCTACACAATGGGCTATCTGTGCTCTGCCCACCACGGGTATCGAAACCCGGTTTCTAGCGTTGTAAGTCCGCAAACATACCGCTGTGCCACTGGGGGCTATCTCATACGTAATGAAAAGACTTGGTTATAAATTAACGGTAAGTGAAGGGACTTACAACTGTAAAATCTGGGGTTCGATTCCCCTTGTTGAAATATATATGTGCAAACACACAAACATGTACGAGTATGTGTCCAGAAATTAGGCATACGGGAACATATTTTTGTAAACCTAATTGATAAATCACATAGCTTTGATAAAAGCATCTCTTAACTATGAACTGTTGTTAAGCTTTACTCAACAAGAATAATTTATTCATTGGTATGACTTTCGGTACTTCCTTGGGAAATATGATTCGCTTTTGTCTTTAAAATTCAGCTACCACTAGCGTCTTTACTGAAAATTAAAGACTTAAGACTGGATCCACATTTCGTATGTGTGCTCATAGTTCACAAGTATGATTTATTTGTTTTGTTGAATTTCGTGCAAAGCTATTCGAGAGATACCTGCGCCAGCCGTCCCTAATTTAGAAACGATAGCCTAGAGGGAAAGCAGCTAATCAGCACCCCCCATCGCCAACTCTTGGGCTACTCTACCAACGGAAAGTGGAAACTGACCTTCACATAATAACGCCCCTACGAGCATGTTCGATGTTGAGATTCGAACCCGTGACCCGCAGAGTGCGAGTTGAGTCTCCTAACCTGCAGGTCATAGAAGTGTGGATTGTTGAAGCTCTGTATAATAATTGATTACTAGCAGAGACCCGCAAAACATGTGCCGTCAAATTAGTATATTTATTGCAACAGTACTTCTTTCAATACAGATTTCTAGAATAATACAAAATACTTATCTTAGGCCTAACACTAGCTAAGCCTTTATCGTACGGCCTATATTCGATAAAGAGATAAATTTGACACTGTAACTTGCGTACGTTTTTTTTATTTACTTTAGTTAGGGCTAAACTTTACCACATTTAATACTATCAATAAATAAACTTATAATGTTATTCTACGACCTAACGTCAATC